TTTTAAGCGTAGTAACAAGGAAAATAACGTTAAGAAGGGATATGTGATTTAGTCTTCATTTATAATTAGGTCTGATCAGTATATAAAATTGCATGAGATCCAGACCTTCACAAAATGAAGAAATTTGCAGCAAGCACAGACCAAAGTATTCACAGCTTTGGCATTTGAGCACGCTGCTTATCTTCCTCATTGTCAGCATTCCATAATCGCAGAGAGCTCATATGGTTGGCGCTATGCCTTTGTAAGTGCTTGTTTCAATTTGAAGATACATCATATTTTGCTGTTGACATATGGTAAATGCCGCAGACTTTTTATAGTAATTAAAGGCTGCAATTTGTGCAACAGCTGCGGCGCTTGTGATTACATGATATACATGAAAATTAATGTTGGCGTTGATTTGTGAGACAGCAACCCCCTTCCCTTCTCGTTAAAATACTCGATGCATGCTTATCATAATTAAAAGCAGATGTTTAGTTTTAATTGTGAAATTAAAGAGAACTCCTGTGTCTAGTCAATATTGCGGCGGCGATGGGCTGCTCCAGTTCATCACCCAAGCCCCTATAAGAAAAACACAGAAACAGATCAGCTCAACTCAGCTTGCTTACATAAGAACCATTAGGTCAATGAGATAGGCCTCTAGCAAATACATTCGCCCCTGGATGTCATTGGCCCAAGGATATTTTTCCGACCTAATTATGATCATCTATTCTGAATCTGCATTGAAATGTTGTATATTTATACGAAACTTTATCTCCGTTTTAAATGCAAAATGCTAAGAGACTAAAGAGAAATGCAATCGTAAAGTAAGATGAATTATTAAAAGGGTCGAAAAAAATATTCCATTATATATATTATATTAATCTTATAAATTATTGTAATTAAAGACTACTGAAAGCGGAAGCTTATTCTTTTTATGTGCCCCTTGATATGCTAAAACTGGAAATTAAAATCCATTATAAAAAGAATGCCATAACAATAATTCAAAAGCTAACAAGATGTGAAATACTGAAAAAAATATTGCCGCCCCCAAATTTCTGTTGCTTTCTATTGCGAGTCCGTTGATTAACATTCAGCGAAATCACAATAAAATTAATTATTTTGATTACAATTCTAACGTACGAGCGTTGGGGGAGGGAGTGCGATGGTTGGCTGGAGGTAGCCGGAGACATGTCCATGCAAAAGTTGTATAAACGAGCCAAAATTGTGGAATACCCACACAAATGTAGGCGTGGCAGGTTAGCACACACTCTGCACACACGCCCACCATACAAAACACATCAACATTAAAAATGTATTTTAATGTGTCGCCCGCTCTGTCATTTTGGTTACCTTTGCCGGCATTTCTGCTGCCTGTTGTCATTTTTAATGTCTTTCATTTGGCACAACACCGATGGGTGGGCGTGTGTAACGTCCCATTTGAAAAGGCCAAAGCAAAGCAAACAACAAACAAACAGACCATTTAGGCGCATTTCATAGCGTTTGTAAATCATAAAATGTTGTCAAATTCCAGAACGCCTTCCGACAAACCCGAGCACCTTTCACATTGTTGTTAACATTGGCTTTGACTTTCAGCTAATTACTTGTGATTTAATTTGAATTTGTAATTAGCCAGCAAAATGTCTTTTTTGTGACAGTTCTGACAGCATACGGCTTCACAAGGCATCACACACCAGCCACCAAACACCAGAAGCCATTCTAGGTGTGAGCTTGTCGCATATGTATGTTGGATAAGCTCTCCAAAGTTTTTAATTATACAAGCAGAGAGGGTGCTGCCAACTCGTCTGATGCAAACAATTGTGCCAATTCCTGAGAACGAATCTGAGCTACGAGTTAATATTGTATAGAAAAAATGAAAAAAGAAAACTGAAAATGCTTTCCAGTCTATTGAAATGACATTGTAGACTAAACAAATTACTTAAATAAACTAGTTATAGTCAATAGCGAACTCTGCCGATGACATTGAGAAGCAATCTTCAAAGTACATCATTGCAGATAGCATAGTCTTAGCCAGGAAGCCTAGGGCGACTGCTTCGGAGTATATATATAAGTCCATATATTGTACAAAAAATTACATTTTAACCACTATACAGTTTTCTCAGAACAGTGCTTAAAACAAATGTGAGACTGTTGGCTCGATCGCATGCCCAAAACATTGAATATAAAGTGAATAGCACTGCCAACTTGCGTTGATTGACAGTGCTGCCAACTACATGCTGAAAACTTACAATCAAGATAAATTTGACATCCATAATATGAAAAGTCAAAGAAAAATCACTTAAAATCTTTCGCTCGAGGCAACAAAAGCACAGCACGAATCCCTGAACAGGCTGACCCAATCTATCCAACTACCCATCTGCCCACCTGTTCAACTGTTTAACTGCCCGGCTGGCACACCTGCCACACCCACATCATCAGCAGCAGCCGATGCAGTCAAGTCTAACAAATGGCTGGGTGCTGGGTACGTTACGTTCCATGGTCGCCGCTATCTAAAGCTGTTGATAAAGCGCACATTAAAATATATACGTATCTAAGTATCTGAAAGATACGAACAGCAGGACGGGCGACCAGGTAGGAAGTAGCGTTGCTGGCTTGTCAGCTGGGATGGGCGCATTCAAATGAAAACCAACCGTGAGAATCAAAGCAGCAGCCAAGTGGAGCGTAAAGCTTTCAGTGCCCGGATTGGTGGAGTGGAGTAGTGTCTGTCCTAACCGAAAACTGTCGGATCCCTCCAGTCAGCCAGTCCAACGATTGTACCGTCCCCTCCCCATTCTCCACTCTCCCCATTCCCACTTGCCATCGCGACGTCGAGTTGTTAAGTTTCATTTTTTGCCTTTACGTTTCATTTATTACGCAGAGGTTTTTCCATTTCTGTTTTTAGTATGTTTTTTTCTATATATATATATATATATATTTGTATTTTTTTCCTAAATTAAGAATTTTCTTGCAGCTTTTTAGAGCTTCTCAATGACTGACTACGTCCCGCCCGCTCGCCCCGCTATTCTAGTCTCTCAGCCTCTTAACTGACTGTTGGCGTTATAAAAGCCCAACGCTTCATTGCACAAGTATAGTGGCAACAGCCGAGAGGCTGCCATTTCTAAAGGCCTGTTGTCTGGACCGCCCCACACCCTTATAATGGGGAGTAATGGAGAACAGCAACCGTTCAACACTTAACAGAGCACACACAACTTGGCTTGCGGTCGAAGCTCAACGCTCGACACTCAACACTCAAAAATTTGCTTTTGCTCAAAGAGCTGCTTCGAGCGATATAATTTCTGCACACGTGAGCATAACGCGCGGCTGCTTGAAATTGGGGCTAGGGATCGGAAGAGGGGGGCGGGAGGGGTAGGGACTCGGGCAAGGGTTGGAGGTTGTGGTGCGTGTTACTTACAGAAAGTCTCAAAATGAAATTAATTAAAACAATATAAACAATAGAGTGAAGACATGCGTACACACTGATGCACAGTGGGCTACGACTAAGAAGCTCGGTTACTTCCTAGTGTATGATAAATAATAATAATACTATTCATATTATTACTAAAGAGTATCTGACGGCTATCCTTCTTTTAAAAACCCTTATTATAAATAAATTTGAAAATTGTTTTAATAAGAATTGTATATATTAATTCATATATTTTATATATTTATTAATAAATTCTATTTTTGTACCCAATTAACTGATATACATTTAAGTATGTAAATGGCTTTCCTTCAATGTGCTCACTGTAACACCATTATAGACACCCTAGCTTACACACATATGTACATACACACAGGGCACACAAACAGTGTGTGTATCCGTACACACGAAGGACACAAGCCTTTTGTAGTTTTACGAGTGACATAACCCATTCAAAAGTCTTATTTGAATACACATAGTGCACCATTTAATCGTATTGTTTACATTGGGCTGAGTAAACAAAATACATAGGAAATGTAGCAAAATCCAGCAATAAGTGGAATCTTTTGGCAGACTTGCCAACTGTAGCAAGTGCACTTGGCCCAAGCAAATCATTGCAAATAAAATAAGCAAATTATGGAAGAAAAAAAAGAGAAAAGAAAAAATTGAAACTGGGCAAATAAATTCATCTTGCGTCTGCATTGCAAAATTTGTTGAATTTTATGTGTGGATACCATGTGGAACTGTGGTAAGGAGCCAGCCAAGATTGGACATTGATAGCGTACGTGGTCTGAAGTACATGCAGACCCAAAGAGAGAAAGAGAGAGAGAGAGAGAGAGAGTGAGAGAGACAGAGGGAGATGGAGTGGAAGTAGGGGCTACAATATATGGCAAGGTAAACATGTTTAAAATATTTATGTGCCCATCTCTGCGCGAGCTGTTGCCGCCCAACTATAATTGTGGCGGCACTTTGTCTTTGGCTTGACAAAAACCGCGCCCACCTCCCCCTCACACACCCTATAACGCCCACCTGCCATTGTTATGCGGTATCATGTGAGACGCGTGGCTTCAGCACACGTTTTGGCAATGAACCAGACAGCGCACGTGTGTTTATTTTTATTTGTGGCAATGGCAAAAGGTAGCAAAGAACATGTAAAAAGCCGGATAGGAGTGAAGCAAGCAAGGATTACAATTCTGACATATATATATATACATACACATATATATATATATATATTTGTGTGTGTGAGCTTGGCTTTTCGCTAGAATTTATGTTACAAGCAGCTCATAAATGTCGGTGATGTCGAGTCGCTCGGCTGATTGAAATTTTCATTACAGACTTCTTAAAGGGGTTAAGAAGGACACAATAAGGAGATAGACACAGAAAATTGTATTCAAATATATATTTTCTTGATTAAAATAAAATCTTGCAAATAATATTTGAACAGAAATTCAATTATTTCGGTTCTTTTTGCTGTTAGTGTAAAGAAAACTGTGAAAATATTTGTACTCGATTTCTTGGTTACATATTGAAAAAAAGGATACATATGAATTATATTAAAAAGAACATATAAGAATATATTTTATATATTGTATAATTTTAATTAAATAGTAACTTGTAATTTGTTCGTTCGTCGTTATTTTTGCATTTGTCATCATTTATGTAGGCAACATTTTTAGCCAATTTCTTTTTAACAATGTTTGCTGTGCCAACATTTTCTCCGGGTTGGTTTACATTCTAATTCTTTTCCTTGGCAGCCTGTCACATTAAATGCAAAGTAAACAGCATCGTTAAAAGCAGAGCACCTGTGCAGGTAAAAGGGTTGTGCGGAGTGCTATTAACAACGTTGCCACTTCATTCAAATTAAGCATACGCCGTGTGGAACGTCAGCCTACGTGCCGGCCACCACAAAAGGCTTCGCATCGCTGCCCTTTTGCTCACTGTTCAAATGTTAATCGCATTTCTTGGTTTTGCTCCTGCTGGCCTGTCCTTCGACTTCGACAGTCGTTGGGAGGCGGGGAGCGGTGGGTCTAAGATAAAGGGTTCCGTTCGTTCGGTTGCCTTTCGTCCCGCACGTCAGTCAGTCATTTGTTTTGTCTTCTGTGCGCTGCGTTGGCCACAAAATGAAAATGAAAATTGGTTTTCTCGGTTTCTCGCTATTCTCGCTTAACAACAACAAGTCACAGCACCACCACCGACAACAACTGTAACAACAAGAACAACATTCATTTTAAATGTAAATAAAGTGACAAATTACCTGAATTAGTGACACAGCGTTCATCGCGCTTTTGCGCTGCCAGCTCGTTTAGTTCACTTCTTATTTTTTTTGTTCTTTGCTTTTTGTACTTGTTTTCATTTTAAAATGAACACTGTTGTTGCTGCCATTGTCAATGCTGTTGACTTTGGTTAGGTTCCTAATTGTAATCCGAGCTAATTGCGCTGCAACTGAAGTGGGCTGAATAAAAGGAAATCAATGTAAGGAAGTTCTTACTCTTTGTCGTCCTGAATAAAACTAGAAATTGTGTTTTTTTTTTAAAGAATTTGTCAGGTAGAAAAGAAAATATTTGATTTCAATGATATTATATTATTTAAAAGTTGCTTTGACACATGAAAAAAATACTATACAATTCAACGTATTATTTTTAGGTTCAATAAAATTTACTTAACATTTCATAAGTACATGTGAAAGACATGCAGCATTTTATATATCTCTCCAGCCCATTTTCGAACATCAACCGGACTATAGAGCATATTTTTTAAGGAATTTAACCGGCAAGCTATTAAATTGAATTATTTTAAAGCTCAATATTGAATCAAGACAGTGCAAACTGCTCGCAATCTTAAGATCTTCGCACAGCTGTCGAGTAAATATTTAATTTACAAAATTCCATAATAAAATTTTGCTTGGCTTGTCACCTTCTGTTGTTGCTTGTGTTGCTGCTTTAAGGCAGCTGGGTTTTCATTTCGCATGCCAATTGTTTGGCAAGTGTCAAAATAATAACAAGCCACCCTTGGGAAGCCAACACCAAACACTCAACCCCAAACCAGCCAGCAAGGCGTTAGGGCAATGCGAAGTGCCAAGTGTCAAAATATTTCGGCAATTTTTTTTATGTTAATTTTCTATTAATAAAATAAATATTAAATCAGTGAGGCAGCTAGGGGTGACAAATGTCGCAAGACGACAATGTTTCCCGATGACTATATTAGAGACCAAAACCACTAATTTATCCCCAGAGACTTCCAGGGCAGAATGGGGCGAAAGAAAAAGCGCATGCACAGATGTTACCCTTGTGCTGGCCACCCTCACAATCCGCACACCCCACACACCGTCACAACGGGTGGGTGGCTTTGATTTGAGCTTTTTCCTCTTTCTTGGTTCAATTTAAATTTCATAAATTTAAGACCCAGAGCCAATTTGTGATTGTGTTATTAAATTTTACGTCTTGGTGCCTGCCCAAGTGCGACTAAGTCGTTGATTTTCATGGCTCTGCGGCATTTTGTTTTATAATTGTTATGGCACAGCATCTGCTGTTGTTGCTGCTTTTCTAGTTGGTGTTAACCCTTTGGCGTCTTATTTGCCACGCGGCTGCTGCTTAGCGGCTCATTAGCCAAGTTTTATGTTTCAGCAAGTGGGGTTGGGGCACCATCATTTGTAGGCAATGCTGTAAAACTTTTGCCTATAAACTGACAAAGATGACTTTCCAGTTGCTGGGTCATGAAAACGGTGTTAAATTCTAAAAATTATACGCTGCTGCAGGGCAGCAAATTATGCGAATCGATATACAGATAATTACACATAAATTTCACAGTATGCAGCTGTATATTTTAAACTGAAGGTCGCGCTGTAATAAATCAGCTAATTGTCAGCCCATTTGTCCCGAATGGTCACTAAAAGAACTTTAAGACTTGTTTCGCTCTTTATCTTAAGTTCAGTGACTGTAGAAATTAGATTTAGCATGTCGGCAAGCATGAAAAGCGTTTAAAAGAAAAGAACATGCCAGTTCCAAAAAATATACCAACGTGGCATGCCCCATTTTCGGCGCCACACCCCTTCAGTGCAGTGCTTTATGAGTTTTACAAAATGTCTCTCTGGTTCCAAAACAATTTTCCCGTAGCAATTTCGCATTGCATACTTGCAGGCCCATAACTGTCTGACTTCGCTGCTGCGTCTTCTGCTACTGCTGCCGGAATGTGCAACTCAGTGTCTGCCTGTAACCCGTTTTGGCGAGGCTGATGCCACCCCCTTACCGAGTGGCATCAACGGAAGCTACTTGTTGGGTTAATGACGTCGTAAAAACTGCTGCAGCTGCTGCTGCTGCTGCTACTGCTAGAAGAAGAACTGACACCGTTAGCTCCTGGAAGCCCCTAGGAGTTTTCAGGTATAATAATTACACGCTGCTTCTCTTGATTTTCTTAGACTTCGCCTCCCACCTCTCTGAATACTCAAGTCTCAGCTTGCAACTGAATTGGTTACAGTTGTGCTCTGTAGAATACAAGCTATAATAAAACTGCTTGCTAAATCAGTACACAAAATAATCAAATATATTATTATAAGAAAATATAAGAAGATATACAGTATACATTATTTTGTTTAAACAAAAACTGGTAGAACGTGTTATATTCTCCAATTTACGAACAACGCTTTTGGTATTCACAATCTTTATAACAGTAGCTAAACCCTTCATCATTTTAATATTCCAGATATCTTACTTAATATATTTTTAGGAAGAATCGGAGAGTTTATTATTAATTCACAATGTAAATTAGATGCCAACAGCTGGATTCCGGTGTGCAAGTGGGAATCTATTAAATATTTCTTGCGTAAACTATTATTTGAATTTAGTAGGCGTTTATTTGAACAGCTTTTTATGAACTCGATTTGAAGCAACTCCGAGCTTGTAGCCTCATTATTTATAGCACTTTCGTCTTAGCCACATCGGATGAAAGTACTACATATAATAGCACAAAAATATATATATATTTCCAAATCAATTCCAGCAACGTTTTTGCGCTAAGACGAAGTATATCAATTTTTTTCTCGTTCCTATTTCTGTGAGGCAACGGTAAGTTTTATCCTATAATATGAATATAATAAGAACTTGGTTGAAATATACGCAGCACGATAAAAAGCTAATACAAGATGTGTGGATATGGCTGTGGCGGCTATGGATATTGGGGCTCCTGTGGGCCCAGTTACGGGTGTGGACCCTGGGGTGTTTGCGGAGGTTGTGGTCCGTGTGCCTGTGGGCCCAAGGGTAATGGTCCAGCGGGTCCATCCTGTTGGCCGTTCGGATTATATACGTGCTAGACTTTGGAAGGAAATTAGGAACAATTGCATCTGAAATCTATTGGAATATGTTATTACTTCTTTCCTGGATGCTCTTCTGCAGAAGGGCAGCAAGTAAACCATTAACAAAAAGGTAGGTATCTCCATATATACATGTATATAGGTACTATCTGCGTATATACGTTCCAAATTGATGGGCCGCGTCTTTGGCCTTGAGGTGGAGCCATTTTGGGTGCTAGGCAAATTGAAAATTGCAGCCGAAACAAAGCAGCTCGCGTTGCCAATAAAAATTTTACTGTCGTAAACGGAGTGCAGGCTTTAGGGCCGGGAGCTTGTGACGTCAGATGAGTGGCGCCAGAACGCAATTCAATAACTCGTGTGCAAAGAGTTGTCGTTAGAGTTTGGTTGGGGGGATGAGGAAGTTACGGGTCCGATTGTAAACAAAACTCGTAATTTGAATTCCTTGCCAGTTTTGGGGGTTGGAGCGCGAAATCGTGTCGAGTGTAGGTGCAATAGGTAAAGCGGATTTCATTTTAACGCAGGCCGTTGCCATTGCCGTTGCCGTTGCCGTTGCCAACATAAAAGGCGCCAAAGAAAACGCGAGCGAAGTTGCGAGATTCGTTTCGCATATGTATGTTGTGTGCGTATGTGATTTTTTTATTACGAAATTTCTCGTGCTTTGTGTTCATTGTTTATTTGACTGTGTTTCGGGTGAAGAGTTTAGCACCGGTAAAAGCCGCCCGCAGTGCCAGCAATTGTGCTCTGCTATATGCCACACTGGTGTTCTCATTGCCCTCGCAGCAATTTGCCCTTCGCCGTGGGAGTCCACGCTTCAAAGTATGCGATAAAAATTTGCAAAAGCGCACAGCATGCAACCCAGCAGCAGCGGCAGCGGCAGCAGCAGTAGTAGTGGGAGTAATGAATGCGAATTGGATCTGCTGTTGATTAATAAAAGTATAAACTTTCTTTTTTTCCAGATGAATGCTGTAATTATAGCGCTAAATAAAACTCGTACTGTCTTGGCTAATAGCAATGTTTATTTATTATTGGGCTGAACAAAAGATTTTTTGCTTTCAACGTTTCAGATTTGTAAATAATACGGTTCCAATTTTAAGATAAATATCTTTTACATTTGCAGGCGCTTCAGTAAGTCTTACCTATATTATTTTATTATTTCTTTAAGGTTAATCAAATTAAGTAAATAAAATCTATTTTTAATTTGCTTATTTTATATCAATTGCAGCTGCCCGATTAATAGTAAAAGAAATCTATTTTCGGTCGATACGTCTAGATCTGCCAAAAGTTTTTAAAGGAGTATGAATCCTCTAAGCTTGCACAAATCCAGGTCTTAACGTGTCTGTTAGCTTAAACCCATAGCAATGCAGAATACCTTGTTTACAAGCCCCCATACAACGAACGTAGTCCCTCCGCCCCAACCCTTCCCCCACCCTCACCCCCTTAACAATATGTCGTGGCAGAAGGCTGGCGGCGAAAAATGTCGACGTTCGCTTTGCAAAGAAAGTGAAAGTCATGGCGTATTCGGCGTGTGTGTGTGCGGGTGTGGGTGTGTTGTGCTTGGTTTTACTTTTTAGCCTTTTGCTGTTCGCATTCCTGTTGCGCTTAACCAGCACCCAGAACGTCTCCAGCTGCCTATTTGCCAGCAATTTTCATGCTGTGTCACGTTATTTATTTTCTGCCATCATTTTTAAGCTGCAAAACCCTTTCACGGTTTCGCGCTACTAAAAAGTTTTCGTCTGAAAATTAACATAAAAGTAACGTTCGACTCTAAATGGTGTGGGCGTGGCGTATGTATATGTATCTCTGGGCTTAATTATTTTGTTAAGCAGTCACAAAGTTGCGATATCGCCCAAAAAGTGGCCAGCGCCTGTTTTATTGCTGGCTATGTTGCCTACATTGGCCAAACACGTTAACAAAGCCCTTAATACACAAACCTTGGCCGCAACTAACTCTATAAAAGTAAAACAGAAATGAACGGTCTGCAAACATCCTTTAATATATAGTATGCAATACATTGGCCGCTAAGCCTTAAAGCGTATTGTGGGCAGTTTTGTTGGCTATTTTGTCACATTCGCCGGCGAACAAATTTCCCTTATGTTTTATTTGTAAGGCCCACCTAAAAGTGCGCTTGACTTTAATGACACTTCGATAAGAAGGGGTTAATGTGCTGTGAAGCGTGAGAGTATACGAAAATAAACTTATCTGTTGTATTAATAAAAGCCGCAAAGAAATGACGAACTTTTCGGTTTTAATGTTCATGTATTCATAATTGTGTCGAATAATAACCATAGTAGTTGTACTAAAGGCATTGCGTATGTGGCTACAAAACCGATTTGTATTAGTCACAACTTTTACAAAATAGAAATCTGTTTGTGATGCTTTCAAATGTAAAAATTAATATCACTTTGAAAGGTCTGTTTTAGCATTGAGTATAAGAGTAGATAACTTAATTGATAATTAATTTATTCGGAATTGTGACCAAAAAAATACGCCTATTGAAAGAAAACTGTGCATGAGCTTTTACATTAGGAGATTTGGTCCCACCGAAATGAATAATATTTTGCTCTACTATAAGGAGCATAATAACATGCATAACTGGTGAGTTTGGTCCATCAAACTTGGTAATCAAAAAAATTTTCTGATCCGGCCACGCTTTGACTCCGACTTATGAGATAATCCTAAAATCGAATATATTATACCCAGATGAAGTAAAAACACAAACTGATTGGAATATTTAAGGCCTGTATTAGCATTTGCATTGGTATTACTTTAAATCTATAAGCACGAATCATGTGCGTTATATTATTGTATTAGAATTGGTCATCTGGTGGATAAGTCGCTCTAATGCTGCGAACGGTGTCATTGAGTGAAAATCTAAGCCTTCGGCTGCACGCAGCGTGTATTCTCGGGCAGGTCGCAGATACCCTTCAGCGCGTTGAAGTACTTGTCGCCGCAGCTAACTTGAAGGGGATTGCCGTACCGGCAAATGTAGTAGTCAGTGCAACTGGTCAGGGAGGCCAGCATGAATCCGTCGGGCTTATTGCGGCACACATAGCTCGAGTAGAGTTCCATGTTCATTTCCTTAGTCGACGAATGTGCCATTTGCATTGTCTGTGGCAACACCTCGGGCAACGGTCTGAAGGCGGGTCTCACATGCACCGATGACTGTCCTACCTTCGCGCCAGCTGCTGAAGGGCATGCGGTGGTTACTGGTTCACCGCATACAGTTGTTGTTTCTACGCATGTGGTTGTTTGTGTTGATGGTGCGCAGGGTGTAGTTGTTGTGCACGTAGTAGTTTTTGGTGTTGTGCATGTAGTAGTTGTGCAGGTAGTAGTTTTTGGTGTTGTGCATGTAGTAGTTGTGCAGGTAGTAGTTTTTGGTGTTGTACAGGTAGTTGTGGTGCAGGTAGTAGTTGTTGGGGTTGTACAGGTAGTTGTGGTGCAGGTAGTTGTTGTTGGGGTTGTACAGGTAGTTGTGGTGCAGGTAGTTGTTGTTGGGGTTGTACAGGTAGTTGTGGTGCAGGTAGTTGTTGTTGGTGTTGTACAGGTAGTTGTGGTGCAGGTAGTTGTTGTTGGTGTTGTACAGGTAGTTGTGGTGCAGGTAGTTGTTGTTGGTGTTGTACAGGTAGTCGTGGTGCAGGTAGTTGTTGTTGGTGTTGTACAGGTAGTTGTGGTGCAGGTAGTTGTTGTTGGTGTTGTACAGGTAGTTGTGGTGCATGTAGTTGTTGTTGGTGTTGTACAGGTAGTTGTGGTGCAGGTAGTTGTTGTTGGTGTTGTACAGGTAGTTGTTGTCGGTGTTGTGCATGTAGTTGTTGTGCACGTAGTAGTTTTTGGTGTTGTGCATGTAGTAGTTGTGCAGGTCGTCGTTTTTGGTGTTGTACAGGTAGTTGTTGTGCAGGTCGTAGTTTTTGGTGTTGTGCAGGTAGTTGTTGTACAAGGTGTTGTTTGAGGTGTTGTTGGTGCGCACGGGGTAGTCACGGGTTCGATGCAGGTAGTTGTGATTGGTGCACAAGGAGTGGTCACGGGTGGGGTACAAGTGGTGGTTATTGGATCTGCACATGGCTGCGCGGCAGTACCAGAGCCTCCACCAATTGCTGCTGTTTGCATTATCTCAACGCATCCGGTGTTGTAGTTGACACAACCCTGGACCTTTGGGTCATAGTAACGGGAGCAGGCGGTCTCCACTGCTACACCATTCTGGCACTCGTAGTATTTGGAGCAACTGCCGGGAACCAGACCGCGGAATCCGTTGAACTTGTTCAAACAGACAAAGCGGCGATACAGCTGGTTGTTCACAGCTCCAACCGAAGGTCTTATATTGGCAGCACTGGTGGTGGCCATCAGAAGAGCCAGGCAGGCAAGGACTGTAAGAGTGTAGAAAGGTAAAGAGTTAAATCGTTGCTAAAGTTGCTGCTAAAGTCGTTCCATACCGTAATGAGCTCTCATATTTAATGGACTGAGAGTGGGGAAAACTATTCCTAATGTGTGTTCGCTTGGGCTATCAGAAGATTTGGCACAAAGCTCTTTACACAAATGACATGGTCGCCACTGGCACCCGCTTTTATATGGTAGCACCAGTGGGCTGATAAGCATCTGGAGGGCAGGAATCTTGTTTTTCGGGGCCTTATCGGCTTGTCTATCAGTACCATATGTCTGATAGTGTGATGCTTTTTGATATTACCTTGATATTGACTGCTCCCCGGGATGCTGTTCGATATGTGTTTTCTATTTTTTTGATATGTTGCCGATTGGGCAAATACATCTTATCTTATCGATATCACTTTCCGCTACTAAGCGATGACTTCTCTTTTTTTCTTCAATTAATTTAATTGTTCGCACTTGAAATCTTCACAAACTGAACTTGGAAATTTATTCGTAACGAAATGCAGACACTTTGTCATTCCAAATATTACTGACACAAAATTTGCATTAATATTACAATAACCACTAACAATGTCGATAAACCCCACCTAAGAGAGCACTTGACTTTAATGACACTTTGATAGGAATGGGGTCAATGTGCTGTGAAGCGTGAAAGTATACGAAAATAAACTTATCTGTTGTATTAATAAAAGCCGCAAAGAAATGACGAACTTTTCGGTATTAAACTTATTGAATTTCTAATCACATGGACAATTAATGTTCATGTATTCATAATTGTGTCGAATAATAACCATAGTAGTTGTACTAAAGGCATTGCGTATGTGGCTACAAAACCGATTTGTATTAGTCACAACTTTTACAAAATAGAAATCTGTTTGTGATGCTTTCAAATGTAAAAATTAATATCACTTTGAAAGGTCTGTTTTAGCATTGAGTATAAGAGTAGATAACTTAATTGATAATTAATTTATTCGGAATTGTGACCAAAAAAATACGCCTATTGAAAGAAAACTGTGCATGAGCTTTTACATTAGGAGATTTGGTCCCACCGAAATGAATAATATTTTGCTCTACTATAAGGAGCATAATAACATGCATAACTGGTGAGTTTGGTCCATCAAACTTGGTAATCAAAAAAATTTTCTGATCCGGCCACGCTTTGACTCCGACTTATGAGATAATCCTAAAATCGAATATATTATACCCAGATGAAGTAAAAACACAAACTGATTGGAATATTTAAGGCCTGTATTAGCATTTGCATTGGTATTACTTTAAATCTATAAGCACGAATCATGTGCGTTATATTATTGTATTAGAATTGGTCATCTGGTGGATAAGTCGCTCTAATGCTGCGAACGGTGTCATTGAGTGAAAATCTAAGCCTTCGGCTGCACGCAGCGTGTATTCTCGGGCAGGTCGCAGATACCCTTCAGCGCGTTGAAGTACTTGTCGCCGCAGCTAACTTGAAGGGGTTTGCCGTACCGGCAAATGTAGTAGTCAGTGCAACTGGTCAAGGAGGCCAGCATGAATCCGTCAGGCTTATTGCGGCACACATAGCTCGAGTAGAGTTCCATGTTCATTTCCTTAGTCGACGAATGTGCCATTTGCATTGTCTGTGCCAACACCTCGGGCAACGGTCTGAAGGCGGGTCTCACATGCACCGATGACTGTCCTACCTTCGCGCCAGCTGCTGAAGGGCATGCGGTGGTTACTGGTTCACCGCATACAGTTGTTGTTTCTACGCATGTAGTTGTTTGTGTTGATGGTGCGCAGGGTGTAGTCGTTGTGCACGTAGTAGTTTTTGGTGTTGTGCATGTAGTAGTTGTGCAGGTAGTAGTTTTTGGTGTTGTGCATGTAGTAGTTGTGCAGGTAGTTGTTGTTGGTGTTGTACAGGTAGTTGTGGTGCAGGTAGTTGTTGTTGGGGTTGTACAGGTAGTTGTGGTGCAGGTAGTAGTTGTTGGGGTTGTACAGGTAGTAGTTGTTGTTGTCGTTGTTGTTGTCGTTGTGGTTGTCGTTGTGGTTGTCGTCGTTGTTGTTGTTGTCGTTGTTGGTGTTGTGCAGGTAGTAGTTGTCGTTGTTGTTGTTGTTGGTGTTGTGCAGGTAGTAGTTGTCGTTGTTGTTGTCGTTGTTGTCGTCGTTGTGGTTGTCGTTGTGGTTGTCGTCGTTGTTGTTGTTGTCGTTGTTGTTGTTGTCGTTGTTGGTGTTGTGCAGGTAGTAGTTGTCGTTGTTGTTGTTGGTGTTGTGCAGGTAGTAGTTGTCGTTGTTGTGGTCGTCGTTGTGGTTGTCGTTGTGGTTGTCGTCGTTGTTGTTGTTGTCGTTGTTGTCGTTGTTGTTGTTGTCGTTGTTGGTGTTGTGCAGGTAGTAGTTGTCGTTGTTGTTGGTGTTGTGCAGGTAGTAGTTGTCGTTGTTGTTGGTGTTGTGCAGGTAGTAGTTGTCGTTGTTGTTGTCGTTGTTGTCGTCGTTGTGGTTGTCGTTGTGGTTGTCGTTGTGGTTGTCGTTGTGGTTGTCGTTGTGGTTGTCGTCGTTGTTGTTGTTGTCGTTGTTGGTGTTGTGCAGGTAGTAGTTGTCGTTGTTGTTGTCGTTGTTGTTGTCGTGGTTGTTGTCGTTGTCGTTGTTGTTGTCGTTGTTGTTGTTGTCGTTGTTGGTGTTGAACAGGTAGTAGTTGTCGTTGTTGTTGGTTTTGTCGTGGTTGTTGTCGTAGTTGATGTTGTTGTTGTAGGTTTTGGTGTAGTTGTCGTTGTTGGTGTTGTGCAGGTAGTAGTTGTCGTTGTTGTTGTCGTTGTTGTTGTCGTTGTGGTTGTCGTCGTTGTTGTTGTTGTCGGTGTTGTGCAGGTAGTAGTTGTCGTTGTCGTTGGTTTTGTCGTGGTTGTTGTCGTTGTTGTTGTCGTTGTTGTTGGTTTTGTTGTTGTTGTCGTTGTTGGTGTTGTGCAGGTAGTAGTTGTCGTTGTTGTTGTCGTGGTTGTTGTCGTTTTTGTTGTCGTGGTTGTTGTCGTTGTTGTTGTCGTTGTTGTTGTTGTGCAGGTAGTAGTCGTTGGCGTTGTTGTTGTTGTCGTTGTTGGTGTTGTGCAGGTAGTAGTTGTCGTTGTTGTTGGTTTTGTCGTTGTTGTTGTTTTTGTCGTTGTTGTTGGTTTTGTCGTTGTTGTCGTTGGTGTTGTGCAGGTAGTAGTCGTCGTTGTCGTTGTTGTTGGTTTTGTCGTTGTTGTCGGTTTTGTCGTTGTTGTCGTTGGTGTTGTACAGGTAGTAGTCGTCGTTGTCGTTGTTGTTGGTTTTGTCGTTGTTGTCGGTTTTGTCGTTGTTGTTGGTTTTGTCGTTGTTGTCGTTGGTGTTGTGCAGGTAGTAGTCGTCGTTGTCGTTGTTGTTGGTTTTGTCGTTGTTGTCGGTTTTGTCGTTGTTGTCGTTGGTGTTGTACAGGTAGTAGTCGTCGTTGTCGTTGTTGTTGGTTTTGTCGTTGTTGTCGGTTTTGTCGTTGTTGTTGGTTTTGTCGTTGTTGTCGTTGGTGTTGTGCAGGTAGTAGTCGTCGTTGTCGTTGTTGTTTTTGTCGTTGTTGTCGGCTTTGTCGTTGTTGTTGTTGGTTTTGTCGTTGTTGATGTTGGTATTGTGCAGGTTGTTGTTTGAGGTGTTGTTGGTGCACACGGGATAGTCGTGGTGGCTGTGGTTGTTGCACAAGGAGTGGTCACGGGTGGGGTACAAGTGGTGGTTATTGGATCTGCACATGGCTGCGCGGCAGTACCAGAGCCTCCACCAATTGCTGCTGTTTGCATTATCTCAACGCATCCGGTGTTGTAGTTGACACAACCCTGGACCTTTGGGTCATAGTAACGGGAGCAGGCGGTCTCCACTGCTACACCATTCTGGCACTCGTAGTACTTGGAGCAACTGCCGGGAACCAGACCGCGGAATCCGTTGAGCTTGTTTAAACAAACAGATCGGCTGTATAGCTGGTTGTTCACAGCTCCAACCGAAGGTCTTATATTGGCAGCACTGGTGGTGGCCACCAGAAGAGCCAGGCAGGCAAGGACTGTAAGAGTGTAGAAAGGTAAAGAGTTAAATCGTTGCTAAAGTTGGTGCTAAAGTCGTTCCATACCGTAATGAGCTCTCATATTTAATGGACTGAGAGTGGGGAAAACTATTCCTAATGTGTGTTCGCTTGGGCTATCAGAAGATTTTACACAAAGCACACAAATGACATGGTCGCCACTGGCACCCGCTTTTATATGGTAGCACCAGTGGGCCGATAAGAATCTGGAAGAAAAGAATCTTGTTTTCGGGTGCCTTATCGTCATGTCTATCGTTACTATATGTCTGATAATATAATGCATTTCGATATTATTATTGACTGCTGCTCGGGATGCTGTTCTATTCTTTTGATATGTTGGCCATTGGCCACTTGCCGCTACTAAGCGATGACTTTTCTCTTTTTCTTCAATTAATTTAATTGTTCGCTTTTGAAATCTTTACAAAAAAATCTACATATATATGTGTGTTTACTACCCACACTTACACAAATACACACACAAAAGCAGAGACACATCTAATCCATACTCATACGTTACCAACACCTTAATCTTTGCAATATCGGAAATTTATCCAAAAGAATATTTAAAGAATGCACGATGGGCTTACCTAAAGTCAGCTAACAGCTATTAAAGCCATAAGCTTTAAAGTAATGGAAGGTGGATTTCGGTCTAGTAATGTATATAATATTTGGCGTACCCAAGATAGCTATTCTTTCTTCAGAAAATTTTCTTAATAGCGCTTATATTTTGTATTCGATTATTTCGGGGGCACTTATCAAGTAAATCGATTTTCGTCATCTTTTAATTAATAAATGTACAGAAATAATAATCTTATTTATTTACAAAATATGTATGTTTAGGAATAACAGTTTGAATTCATACGATTATTTTTTTTCGCCATTTTTTGTCCCTTGCAGAAATATTATTGGTTGAGTTTTTGGTGTTTTTTTTTTTGTGGAATCTATTTTAGGTGCAATATGCGTTGTAGTTGCCAATTACAATCAAATTGATAAGATAGGCGTAGTTATATAAATAAATCAGTACGTTGGCAGTTCCGGCACGTGAGTCGGGCGTGTGCGACAGCCTGCCCCTTGGTCTACCCCCTCATATTTTTCATACAACATCAAAAACAATTATCAAAGACGATGCTTGATGCACTACACAAACTTTAAAGGCACTTATGAAACCTATGAAAATTAATGCTCTAGTCGAGAGAGCTCTACTAGGAGATACCCTGAACCTATCTGTAAAAATTAAATACAATTTACCCGATTTTAATGAAATCTGTCCATTTGATCAATGATATGAAAACGTATATTGTATATTAATTGAAAAGATACACCTTTAAAATTCTAACTTTTATAGCTATCGGAAATCAATGTTCATCGATATTCGCGAAGGGTGAAGATTCATTGATAAAATATATTAAATACGATCTGTGCGCTTTATACGAGAAGTTATATTCAAAATTTGAAATCTCTGGCTCCTTTTTTTACAGACATGGCTTAGTCGACTCGGCAGTTGTTCCTGATAAAGAATATATATACTCATATATGCTTTCTTCTGCCTACTACATACTTTTGCTCAAAACCATCATATCCTCTTTAGGATATGAAAACATTTGAAAGGCAGACATACATTAATTGTTTGTTTGGGGATGTCAAGTGACTAATTGATTGGAGGAGGAGCTTACTTAACTGGAGGTTCGTTGCCCAATTGGTATGAAGGAGTTTGGACTGACTGAGTGTTAAGGTTCTAACTGGTGGTCTTATTGTACAATCGTCGAAGCGTCTTATTCTTATATATAACGTATTATTGTGTTTCATTATAATTCTAATGAAGCGCTTCCTAGCATAAGTCTCAGTTTCGCATTGAAAATTGTAATTCTCACACAAATTTACAGCAACACAAATATTTAATACGCTTGCAATTTTTTGAAAATACATTTAAGAATATTAAGCTGCTTACACTTGTGGCAGGCCACGTGTAATATCGATAACAGGCACGTAGTAATAAGACAATAACTTGTATATGAAGATAAAATAACTAGCATATGAAGATATCGATGTAGATCGATATCAATTGTGTGACCACGTGCGATAAAGTAAAATGAGCAAATGTCGTTTATAAATAGATATAATTTACTTTTGACGGCCACACACTTTATATATTTTTTATTTTGTATTTATTTAAATGTATTTAATCCTTGTGTTTCATTTCAACATACATTCAATTTACGAACATTTTATTGGCCACGCTAAATTAACCTAACGCACTTTTAACTTTTAGACTCTAACACGTGGCGAACAAGCAAAAATATATTTAAGTTCATTCACATTTTTACTATCACCCCATTTATTCCACAGCTTTTATCGCTTATACGAATTGATATCGATATCTATTCTCCCCAAAAAACATATTAAAATTAATTTAAAATTAGAATTCAATTTGGAATAAGTGTAAATGGGATACGAGAAATTATCATACAAACATTAGGCATACCCGCCAATAGCAAGAACAAAAACAGTCAACAAAAACAACGATAACAACAATAACTTGTTAGGCCATAGCTATTACCGGCAATTACATTAAAATCAGGCAGAACCAAAACAACAACAGCAACAACAAAATGCATATAATAAAACATTTCAACGAAATTGAATTGAATTTCAGTAACGACAACCCTTTCAAGGTGGCCGGCTTGCCAGCAGGAGGAAGACGACCAGATGGGGAGACGGGGCAGCGCCGGTCGATTGCGCTGTTTTTTTGGGTAACCAAACTGAAGGCAACAACTGTGCAAACATTTTGGGTAACCAAACTGAAGGCAACAACTGTGCAAACATTTTGGGTCAACATTTTTTGATATTGGTCACAGCCTGCAGCGCATTACCCAACACTGAGCGTGATAAAGGGAGAGCGAGCGAGAAGGAGAGAGAGAGAGAGAGAATGTGCTTATTTCTGATTAAAATCAATAGTGGAATATTTAAATTATTTGTTGGGAAAAACTTTAAATTTTTCATGTGCTTGCTGCTTGGTGCGCGTATTTATGCGACTTTATTTTACAGTTGACTAAATGCATAGCATGAGAGCAGATGAACAAAAAATAAAAAAAAGAAGAAAAACAAAAGAAATCACTTAACCCTTGAGCGACCCCGACACATGCGAAATTGACTTGAATTATCGAATTTCGTATGGGTCTGCAACTGGGCATGGGCATGGTCTGTCAGGCGACCCTTTTATCAAACTTGAACTCAAGTTCAGTCGTCGGAACAAGGAGAAACAAGAAATAAGAAACAAAAATGAATGCGCGACGTTGAGATACCATATTGAAAATATAAAATAAAATATAAATATAATAATATAAAATAATTTAGTAAGCGTTCAGCAGATACTTAAAATGTACTTAATTAGATTTAAAAAAAAAAAGGGAACAAGTCTTACAACCAATTAGATAAATAAATGATAAACTATTTACGCGCATATTAATATTAATTTAACAAAAGAAATATAAAAATGTTCAAAACAGAGTTCACTACTAAATATTTGGCTAATATGCCACAAGAAGACTATTGCGTAGGATACATTTGAAGGAGAGGAAAGAGCAGAAAAAATTCAGCGACAGGCACACATGACGCGAAGTCGAGGAAAACGAGGGAATCAAACGGAATATAAATCAGTTTAATGATTTTTATGCCAGTAAAAACAAAAAGCAGCCAGAAAGTGAGGGGCAGAGGGGAAGAAGTCGAGAGTGGGCTGTGTTTGCATTGCTTTGCTTTGCTTGCCGCCGGAAGCGGAAGTTGGCAAAGTGTGCGTAAAAAGCAAGAAATAAATAAACAAATAAAAAACGAATCGGACAACGCAGGCTGCTTTAAAAGTGGTTGGCATTTAATTTAAGGCATCGCTGCCTTAAAGAATACACCAGATTCTGTATAGAGCAAAAACTGATTTGCAAGGCTCCTGCAAGTTAAGTTCAATTGAATTTCGGACAAGCTGCGTAATTTAACTTCGCAGCTGACTTATCAGAGAAATCGGCTTACAAGTACAAGATAGTTAAATTCGCAAATTTCGCTTAAATCCCTTAAAGAGCTTAATCCTTTCGCAGTGCATAGCTGCCAGCATGGTAAGCTGCCGAGCTGCTGTTGCTATATCATAGCGTTTAATTAATGTCACTGACATTTGTCAAGTTGGATTTCATAATTTGCGCCTCAGGCTCAGCCCACCAGGCAGCGAGAGGCCCCAGTCAACGATTCACCAAACCGGCGACGTCAGCATGGCACCTGCAAGGACACAGTGTGCGACCCCCGCACCCTGCCCCAATATCAACCCCAATCCCAATCCAAATCCCAACTCCAACTCCATTGGACTGCCAACATTGGTTTCAATAATAAATTAACCTGTAACTCATACTCGGCTGCTTATCTTGCTATAAGTCAGTCCAAGTCAGTCCAATGCCTTTTGCACTCCAGTGAGTCGCGTACGCAGCGCAAAATTTAGTTAGCAGAGTGCACTCGACTGAGTGTGTGTGTGTGTATGGATGTGGATGTTGTGTGTTTCTGGCATGCAAGTAAATTTATTTTAGAAGCAGACAAACTCATGAGTTGTCTCAGTGGCATCTTCCGGATCCGTCTGACAGGTAGTTCCTAAGTCAAAGACTCTAGATTGCAAGAGCCCAAGTTTTGCCAGCCATGTGCTTAGTTTTGGCTTTCTTTTCAATTATTTATCAGGCTGCCAGCCATGAGTTTAGTTAATGCATGCGAAACAACAATGCCAAGCACGCATATTATCAGGGACAGATAAATTCACTATGTGTGTGTGCGAGAACTGAAAGTTAACTACGTACATATGTATACACAAGTATGTGAGAGGGTCCACATATATGGGTTAGGAGGAGAAGAGTTGGGAAACTCTGTTGGATTGAAATTGTAGATTTATAATCATGGCAATAATGCCTAATAACATTCCATAACTGTTTGATAAGTTCAAATAAGTGTACGAAACTAATATTATGATTGACCCATAATTTCCCTTTAATTTCGCATATGCAAGAAAATCGTGAGCTCTTACATCACCCGGAAAGCACTATG